GAGTGCAGTGGCCGCTCCTGGCCACTGCATCCTCGACCTGCTGGGCTCCAGCGATCCTTCAGCCTCAGCCTTCTGAGTAGCCAGAATTACAGGCACGTGCTACCATGCCCAGCTAATTTTTTTATTTATTGTGAAGGTGAGGTCTCCCCAAGTTGCCAAGGCGGGTCTCGAACTCGCAGGCTCAGGCAGTCCACTCACCTCAGCCTCCCAAAGCGCGGGATTACAGGCTGAGCCACCAAGCTCGGCTGAAGACTCCTTTTTGGGTGTGTCCAGTCCTTCCCTAAATCCTGAGCAAGCTGTCAACTGCCCTTAAGGTCTAGCCTGTGTGTTTCCAAACTATGTGACTGAGAAATGTTCTTGTCGTCCCTCCCTCCAGGGTGCAGTGTCTGGCTCGGTGCAGGCCACTGACCGGCTGATGAAGGAGCTCAGGGATATATACCGATCACAGAGTTTCAAAGGCGGTAAGTTTGCCCCAGAGGGGCCTACATGGAAGCTTCTCATAAAGAAGGGTCTGGCAGGGGCCCTAAGAGGCTCCGGGATACATGAATGCTTGTGAACCTTTCTGGCCACCATTGGAGCTCCTCATGCCCTTGGCTTGGCTTGGATGCGTGTCCATCTGGGGCAATCCTGGGACTGTTGGTGTTGTTCTCTCAGTCAGGGAAAGGAGTCTGCATTAGACACCATTCCCCACCCAGACCGCCTTCCTAACACCTATCTTCCTTCCTTCTAGGAAACTATGCAGTCGAACTCGTGAATGACAGTCTGTATGATTGGAATGTCAAACTCCTCAAGTGAGTGAGGATTCGGGTTGGAGAGGAAGCTGAGGCGTATGGGTGGAGCTACTGTGGTGGGATCTCTAGGGCAGTCCCATCTAGTGTGTTGGTTGCAGGGTCCCAGAGTGGGCGTGGGCAGTGGTTTGGCTGCCTGCTGCTAGCTGGGGAAGTAGGAGCCTTAGGAGGCTCCTGACGGGACCTCTGGAGTCTGAGCCCAGGCTCCTTACTTCGTAGAGTTGACCAGGACAGCGCTTTGCACAACGATCTCCAGATCCTCAAAGAGAAAGAAGGAGCTGACTTCATCCTACTTAACTTTTCCTTTAAAGTAAGGCTTTTCCTTTCCAGTCTGTCCCTCCCTGGCCTAGGCTTCCCTGCCTGCTTACAGTCCTGTGGTGCACGTGGCCTCCCTTCCCTGATTGTCGTCTCTCTCTCTCAGGATAACTTTCCCTTTGACCCACCGTTTGTCAGGGTTGTGTCTCCAGTCCTCTCCGGAGGGTGAGTGGCTGGGCACAGGAAAGAGGGCAGCTCCCGGGGCAGAGGGCGGGGAAGGATCTTGGAGATTTTGCCAGGCACGGCTGACTAACCTTTCTCATGCAGGTATGTCCTGGGCGGAGGGGCCATCTGCATGGAACTTCTCACCAAGCAGGTGAGCCTCTCCCTCCCTCCTGGGCGGGGCTGGGCCGAGCTTTGCCACGCACACACCCCTGTGGATTGGGTGGTAGGCTGAGTGTAGCCCTTTCGTTCTGCCAGGCAGGGCTTGCACCCACTGACCTGGGCAGACAGGTGGTGGCTGTCCTGGGAATGAAGGGCAAGGGTCCTTCTGTAAAAGCGGCTGCTTGCCAGGAGCACAGGCGTGTGCTTTCTCGGGAAGTTCTGTCCTGACTTGCTGTTCTGTCTCTCCCCTCCCCCAGGGCTGGAGCAGTGCCTATTCCATAGAGTCCGTGATCATGCAGATCAGTGCCACACTGGTGAAGGGGAAAGCACGAGTGCAGTTTGGAGCCAACAAAGTAAGGAGCCTGGGCCAGAGACTGCTGGGCTGGGTGGGGCCAAGTGCAGTTGACTAAGGAAGCCAAGGCTACCTTCTTTGAGGGACTAGGAGGGTAAGGCCCTGGGCTGGTGGCACCAGATGAGAGAGCCTGTGATGCCCACAGTGGGAACAGGAACGGGCCTTGGCCTGAGGCACCTAAGCCCCTGGGGAGGGTGCAGGTGTGGAAAGGGAAGGCAGTGGCCCCAAGGGACCTCCCACAGGGAGGGTACTTCGTGTATTACCAGAGTACAGTGCTGGGAGTCAAGCCTCCTGGGTATCTGGGTGGCAGCCTGTGGAAGGTGAGCAGCAGAAGGCCATGCTGGCCATGGCCTGATCTGGTGACTTCCTCTCCCCAGTCTCAATACAGTCTGACAAGAGCACAGCAGTCCTACAAGTCCTTGGTGCAGATCCACGAAAAAAACGGTGAGGCTGGAGCCAGGACTCAGGAGATTCGGACGCTTGCCAGGCCCCAGGTTTCCACTTGCAGCCAAGTAGCAAGACCCTCTTCCTCTGGTTTCTGAGCCTTCCCACCCACTAACACGGCACCTGCCCCGGTTCTCCAGGGAAGGGCTGGTGGTAGCTGGTGACCACTACCTTTTCTCCAAGAAAACACCCAGCGATCACATCGCAGGTAGACTCGATGCTACCTCCCTTCCCAGCCACACTTTAAAGTCTCATCTCACTCTCCTGTCACCTTAGGTCGGGCACACCACTGCCCCTTTCCTTGTAATTTCCAGGTGGACAGTTTCTCAGCTTCCCATGCACCTTCTCTGTCCCCACACTGGATGGCCCTTCTGAGGATCTTCCTGCCTCTGACGCTGGAAGTGTCTTTGGTGATTGGGCTGGGAGGGTAGGCGTCAGCCTCTACCTCACTGGCTGTTCCGCTTCTTTGCAGGCTGGTACACACCTCCAAAGGAAGATGGCTAACCCTGGAGTGCCGCCCCTCCTCCCTCCCCAGGCACCACTGGACCAATTACCTTTGAATGCTGTATTTGGATCTCACGCTGCCTCTGTGGTTCCCTCCCTCATTTTTCCTGGACGTGATAGCTCTGCCTGTTGCAGGACAATGATGGCTATTCTAAACGCTAAGGAAAACAAACAAACACAGAACTGTTTCAATTACTCAAGACTGACTTACAGACCAACCAACCACCTTGCTGGAACCCTTGCTAGCAGGCATTCTTATAAAAGAAACTTTCGAGCCTCCTTATATTGCTGGAAACTCAGCTGTGCTCCAGACTAGAGCCTCCTTACCTATGCTATGGATTTTTAATTTATTTTCTCTTATTTCATGTACACTGCTTTTTTTGGTTACAGTGTATGATGGATGTGTATGAAAAAAATGTATCTTTGGGAAAACAATTACAGTTTGTTAATTTGAAGATGCTGGTCTTGACTCATCTTTCTTTTTCTTCCCACATCCCTCCCCATCCCCTGAGCTGCTTGGGAGGTGGGGAGGGTGCTGTCCACTGTGGCTTTGGTGGAGAGGAGAGGAGAGGCTGCGTCTGGCTGCTGCCGCGAGGAGTGGAGCTGAAGCATGTGCCTGGGCCACCCCTAGGTCCCTCCTGAAGGCCCTTGGAGCAACCAGCACCTGCCCCCGGAACACAGAGCCTGGCCTGCTATACTCCGGCGTCGTAGGCTGAAATGATGATCCTACTTCATAGGACTACTTGTCTCGTCTAGTCACAGATGTTTTCAAATTTCTAAGAAAAAGAACATGAGGAGGCTCAAGAGGCTGCTCCGTAGAGCTTTTGAATGAATCGAGTGGGGACGGGGACACAGGCTCCCAAGTGTGTATGTGGTCTTTCCCCTCTCAGCAATATGCTGTGTTGCTACAACTTTTCTGTGTTGTGGGTTCCTCTCCCTCCTGGAAAGCGGCCTGACTGGCACTGGATGTTGGTCGCAACAGCTATACCACCCTGAACATGTCCGATCTCATCTGGATGGTGGTCGCTGGTAAGCCTCGTCACCTTCCTCCTGGCTCTTGCTTTGTTTGACTTTATAAGAGAAGATGGGCATAGCTCTGAAGCTGTTTGGCTTGGAGATTGTGGATTCTTTCAAGACACTCCCACGAGGTGGGTCCTACTGGAAAGGGTTATGAGCCTTTTAACAGGGATTCTGCTATACACCTGTGTCCACTCCAGGCTCAGGAAATGCCAAGGAGATAAAGCGAGGTGGACGCCTGTGTACTGAGAGAACTGTCGGTGTTGGCAGGACTGCACCCAGCAGGTGCCACCTGCATCTCCTTGTCAGTAAGCTTGCTCTGGGACTGAGGTGGCCTCTTAGGACTGACGATGCCTCCAACTCTAAGAAAGGCGGAAATGACAGAGGCCAGGGATGGCTAAGTGAAGACCCGAGTCTTAGAAAACCCAGACTTGGGACAGCTGCTGGGGAACCTGCACGGTGCTCAAGGAGTCTGTAATGCTTGGAGACACAGCAGTTTTCACATGGGTCATTTCCCTCCCTTTTGAGAAATTTTGATGTTTGCTGCTTTAGGTGGATGGAGAGTCCACCAGTCCCACTCAATGCTGCTCTAACTACCCACACCCACCTGATTAGGGGTGCTAATATATGCTGAGGCTGAGATAAAGAGGGGACACAAGGGGAACATTCATTCCATAGAACTGAATCTGGTTTTCAAGGCCTCTGTGGCTTTCTTCTGAACTTACCACCAGCCCTGGCTGGAATGTAGATTGTGTTTTTAGTAATGTGTACTGTGAGCTGTCCTCTGTATAATGTATTTTGTAATGTATTTTTCTCATCTACCAAAGGATGAAACAAATAAAATTATTTAAATAGTTTGGCTCTAATAAAATTATTTAAAGAAATAGCGGGTTTCGCGTTCACTTGACCTGAAGGAAAATGCCAGCTCTTGTGCTGTGTTAACACTAACACCAGGAGAATCCTCCACTGTTCTTGTCAAACCTAAGGTGATGCTTGTGACCTTAAGTTTAGGGTTCTTGTGAAGTACAAAGCATAAAGAATCAAGGGCAGATCGTAGCAGTTCTCCAGGGCAGGGCAGCAGAGGGGTGGTTGGAAAGAAGTGTCAGTCACCCCAGACTTGTGAAACGTGCCAACATTTATTTGTCAAGGCAGTGGCTCGGTCACATGTTCTCTATCTGATTCTACCTGGAACACCAGGAAAACTAGGCAGGGACCGCTTAGCTCATGCTGTGGATGCAAGGAGGCGACAGGAGAGAACACAAAGGCTGCCTTAGGCTCTCGGCCTAAAACGGCAGCTCCCTACATTTGGTTCAAATGTGCACGCCAAGTTGGGAAACTAAAGACATGTGACCAATGAGACTTCACTCTCTGAGAGGTGAGCTGAACGTAAAGGCAAAAGAGAAATAAACTCAATCCTGGGCTTTTTTCACCTCAAGGTCCCAAGAGTGAGAGGGGTACAAGAGGGCAGGGCAGGCAGACTCCAGATCTGAGGCAGACAGGAAGAGGCGTGCTGAGGGCGGCCCGTCATTTAGACTCTTCAAATGTCAGAATGTGAGACTGGAAGAGAAAAAGAAAGTCTTGGTGGGAAGGAAGGCCTGCCTGAGCCAGTCCACCCAGTCTCTTGGATCACTTCAATTTATTTCATCTAAGGGAATGCCAGGTAAACACTGTGTCCAGGAGGCAGCACTCTGCCGCTGAGACCCCAGGATGGGAGTGGAGGGAGAATGGCCAGGTTAGATACAGGGGCAGTTACCTCCAAGTTCAAAGCGCCGGTGATTTTCCCTTCGAGGATTCGATGAACAACCTCATCTGAACTCAAAATGTCTGCAAAACACAACACACCACCATCTTACTTGGCGGGGCAGGAGCAGCCAGGAGGGAAGCAAGAGGCGGGGGCCGTAGAAGTGCTCTGGCCGCCAACCAGCTCTGACCAACAAGCCTCTGCTGGTTCCTGCTAACTCTGCCGCCAGGATGATGCTGAGAGGTGGGAGAGCAGATGAAAGGTGGAGGCACTGTTGTCAGAATAATTACAGGGATCTGGGATTTTTAATGAGAAATTAGACTGGGCACAGAAAATTACGTTCGCTCAACTCTGCTCTGAGTTTTGGGCTGCAGAGATGGAGGTTACAAGCAGAGGTCTTGCCAGGATATACAGCATCCTACACGCTGGAGCCAGCTGGGCTGGGGCAGCCAGAGGAATGCTTTCTCTAAGGAACCATGTGCAGTTCCTGCGGTCGCACCACACCCGCCACATGCTGGGCCTGCTTGCGTGCATGACACCAAGTCCTATTAGGAGTCAGAACTGGGTTCATCCCCAGCTGTGCTCTTCTCTTGAATGAAATGTGAGGTCAATCCTTTCACTTTTCTGAGCTTAATTTTCCTTACTCATGAAGGGAAGAGAACTGTACACCTGTCTGACTTACTCTGGGTTGGGCACAAGGCCCTTCCCACCGGCTGGGAGCGGCTCTGTGGGACTGGAGGCTCTTGAGTGCTCCGTAAGCTCTGCCCTTGGCTGTTCCTCCTAGGCTAGGCAGCAGGGGCCCTCCACATGCAATGACCCAAGACGACCTCTGGGTGGTGCTCCCTGCCCACTGGGCACGCGGCCCGCCAGACTCCCAGGGAGCCTTGGCCTGCACTTTTGGGAGAAGCTTTTCCATCTCCCTTGGTGTGTGTGCGTGTTTCTTCACCTCCACGTCTCTTCCTGATCCCCAGAGCATTCTTTCATCCTTTTACATTTCACCTAACCTGGATCTTGAGAAGGGATCTCTCCATTTCCAGGACATGGAAACTGAGGCCCCTCATAAGCATCCGGGGCTAAGGGAACAACACGTCAGAAGTTCCGAAGGCCAGTGCTCCCGTCTCTATCACTGGCTTTCAAATGCAAGCGACTGTCCACAGCAGAACCCTTGTCCAATGAACTCTTAAGCAAAACTCAAAGTATGTAAAACAGATGGCAGCTGAGCAGCTCTGGCAAGGGGTAGGGAGCCTGTCTCCCCCTCCCTACCCGGAGAACTCAGTCTTAGGGGTGGCATGGAGGTCCTTCTCAGGATCCTGGGGCTCCAGAGCTCAGGTGTGAAAACCAGTATTCAAGAGGCAGTTGTGCTGGGACAGGTGCTGAAAACCAGGGTTAGATGGAAAGAACGGAAGCTGAAGGGAACCCCAAGCCCAAGGGCCTTGGCCACGCCATCCCACTGAGGTCCTGGAGGCAGGCATGGTATCTCCTGTCCCTGAAATCCTCGGAGGAGAGTGGAAAACATCTCACCTTTCTCCAGCATGAACGGCTGTGTCAGAGGTGGGATGGTCCAGAAGTCGTCGCTATCCAGGCGGCGCAGAGACTGCACGGAGATCGTGGCCAACCGGCCAAAATCGATGAACATGACGACAGCCCAGGTGTCCACCCTGTCCAGCACCCAGCACCTGGCAAAGGGAAGTGGGGAGAGGAGAGTCATTCCACCAGTCCCATGCATAGCTGTCATCAACGAAGAAGGTCTGAGAATGGAGGCGAGGAGAGAGAGGAGCAGGGAGTTGGCTTTGTTTCTCCCCCTGCTTGGATGGGAAGATGATAACAAGCAGAGAAGATCTTGAAACAAGTGTTTTCTTCTTCTCAGGAAAAAAAACAGAGCTCAAAGGAGTGGAGGGAGCAAGGAAGGGAGGCACGGTGTTCCTGGCAGGTTCCTCCCATACCCTCCAACCCTGCCTGGGCACACACCTGTTCCAAGCCTGTCCATAATCGCCCAGGTGGTACTCTGCCAGGCAGCGGGTCCCGCGCTGCACAGCGGAGCCAGCCAGGTAGGGCTGCCGCTCCTCGGCCTCTGCCAGGATGCTGAAGAGCGCCTGCATGTTCTGGTGCAGAGCCTGTGGGTCGCACAGACACAGTGTGCTCCACGGCCTGCTGCAGCTGTCACTTGTTACATTAGCATCATTAATGTGCCCCAAGGCAACCACAGGTACAAGTGGGAGAGAGAACAAGACCAAAAACAGGGATCAGACCGGTCATGCTGGACCCTGCCACTGACTGGCCCTCATTACCATGTACACCACAGGGAGGTCCCCCAAGGAGGAACAGGGGACCCAGCAGGCCACCGACAAGCCCATACCTCAGTGATGTGCATGGCCCAGAAGAATGGGGTCTGAGGGACAACGCTGGTCACCAGCAGCCCCACATGCCCACGGATGCTGTGGATGATAGCCAGCCAGCGCAGGTCCCGGAAGCATTCCCTCAGAAGCAGCACCAGGAAGGAGCCTCTGTGGGAGGGGCATGAGGAGCAAGGGAAGGTGTGAACGGGACCAGAGCCCGCCCTGGGGGCAGGTGACCTGGCAGTGGGATGGGGGTCCACTGAACAGACTGGGGCTACCCCCTCCACTGCCCAAGCAACCATGCGCATGGCAGAGGAAAGCAGGGGCCATGGGGCACAGGGGCCAGAGAGTTCAGGCAGAGGAAGGAGCAGCGTAAACAAAAACTCATCAGGAGAACTCCAGGACAGAGATGGGCAGGAGCCCTCACTGGGTATACTTCAAGCCTGCGAAAGTGACGCATGGGTCTCTACAAGATGGACTGTCCAGCAGGTAGGGTCTGCCTCAGCCCCAAGGCAGCTCTTGCGCATTTCTGCCCATTCCCAACATCATCCTACTGTCACGGACGTCATCACCTGCCCAGACCACACGTGGTTAGTAACAAAACCAACACCATGGACCCTGCAGCACGTCAGGTCAGACAGATTATTCCAGCATCCCGGACATTCAGAACGGTGTCCACTGTTACAGCAAAGGGGGCATGGTAGGCAAGATGGTCTCATGGCCTCCAGAGAAGAGGATAGTCACAGGCCTTCACTGTACATACATGGAAATGATTGTGTGAGCCCGTGCAGGTCACAGCCTGAGGGCCTGAGTCTGATGCAGAAGCTCCTGAAAACCGTTTCCACCCCCTGTACTATCTCTGCCCCCAACCGGGCACAGATGATGTCTGTAGTCGCCATGTGTCCTGTGGTCTTTCTACACTTTGCTCACCTCATTTCCACAGGAACCATGAAGAAGGCTGCCCTCAGCTTCTCAGTCTCACAGGGGTCAACAGCAGCCTTAGGCGTGTGCTGTGTGCAAGCTAGAAACAGAGGATTCAGTCCTGAAGGCACCAGAGCTAGCCGAGAGAACCATGTTCTACCCACCTCCAAGAGGCCTTGGCCCTGCCCTCAAAGGTCACATAATGTAGGTCAAGAATCGGCACCCAGGCACTTCTCTGCCTCCAGATCCTCATCTGGGTGGGGAGGATTGGCTAGATGATATTTTTAATTAAGAAAGCATCCCAGGAAGGCCGGGTATGGTGGGTCATTCCTGTAATCCCAGCATTTTGGGAGGCCGAGATGGGAGGATCGCTTGAAGCCAGGAGTTGGAGACCAGCCTGGGCAACAAAGAGAGACCCCCATCTCTACAAAAAAAATTAGCCAGGCATGGTAGCGTGCACCGGTAGTCCTAACTACTTGGAGGCTGCAGTAGGAGGATCACCTGAGACCAACAGTTTGAGGTTGCAGTGAGCTATGATCGCAGGCTAGAGGAACAAAAAGGGAAAAGGGGTATTTCCTACGGTAAGGGTCAGCAGGGGACAAAGCTGACAGGGAAGCTGGAGAAGAGGTGGTGACACTGAGTGAGCTGGGAGAAGTCAACCAGGAGTTACAAAGCCACATCCTGGGGTCAGGGGGCAGACGGCAGCTCTGTATCTCACCAAGATTTTTGGTCAATCCTTTACCAGAAGCCTCTGAAGCCTAGGGAGAAAAGGAAAAGGTGTCACTCAGACATGGTGGTATTTCTTGTATTGATTTACAGGTTTTACATGTTGAACCACTCCGAGCAGATTTGGAGACAGCGCCGGCAGCCCCTGTTCTGACACAGACTTGAGCAGACTTTTAGGACATCCACCCACTTTCTCCTTCCTCATGATCCTGAGCCAGCCCAAAGGAAAGATGCCCCAGAGCAGGGAAGGCAGGGAGGAGGGCTGCAACCAGGAAGTGCAGGAGGAGCTGCCATCCCGAGACCAGGGACGCCCTGCAGGTACTTCCTGGAAAGAGGAAGAGGTGGCAGCATCATGCTGGAAGCGGGGCTGGGTGGAGAGAGAAAGGCCTGGGTGCCCTGCGCTACTCACAGCCCTGCAGCCCCCAACCCAGCTGGTCTCATCTCTCCATTGTTCTCAACTGGAAGAACCCCACAAACCCAAGTGTCTGCCTGCCTGCCCACTTCTCCATATCCAGCCGCTGCCAGAGAACAGGCAGTTCCACAAGGAGCCCCCAAGAAATCTACTTTCCTTTTCTCCAAAGGAAAGCTTCAGGCCCTCTCCTTTCTTCAAAACCACCACCCTTTCCCACTCACACCCAAGCCCCTGCCTTATGAATGCATCTCTTGGTCTCTGGGCAAACTGGCAGCCATTGTTGGATGGGAAGGCTCTCATCTTCTCACCATCCAAACCACCAACCTCCCCTCGCCCCCTCATTATCCCTCCTGCTCCCACAGCTGCACAGACCACTCCTGCTCTGGCTCAAGGGTCTCACCCCTGCAGCACGCCCTCTCGCTCCTCCACTGCTGTCTCCCTCCTGTGTGGACCTTTCCCACCAGAAAACAAGCGGGGCTGAGCCCTGACTGACCCCACATCTCCCTGTGACCTTGACCTCTCTCTGCTCCTTTCACTAACAGTGCTGTCTTGAGTGTTGTCCACTGCCATACTCACATCCATCTCCTCTCAGGCTGCCCTGAGATAGCCCTGTACAGAGCAGGCAGTAACCTTCATGTGGCCCAATCCAGTGGTCACATCCTGGTCTGCATTTACTTGCAGGATTCCCCCCACTCTCTCTTTCCATAAATTCTTCTTCTCTCAGTCTCCTTGGCATCACACACATCTGGTTTCCTTCCTCCCTCCCTGGCTGGCCCCTCTCAGCTCAGTCACTCAACCCTGGCCGGCTCGGACCTCTCCCTAGTCACCTTCTCTCTAGGCCATCCCTGATTCCAGTTTTAGGCACCAACATACCCCTGACTCTCCGGGCTGGCTCCAGCCCTAATCGTTCCCTGGAATTCCACTCATATGTGAAGATGCCCACCTGGCAAGAGAGCAAAGAGGGGCACAAACTCCACATGTTCAACACAGACCCACCTGAGCTGCCTTCACCCAGCTGCCTCAGCTTCAGTAAACTGCACTGTTATCTACAGGGGCTCAGGTCAAATCCAGCTTTCCCTAGTGCCTACATCAAGGTCACGCAAGTCGAGCTGCCACTTCCACCAAGAAACATCCAAGTTCACCAGTTCTTTTCTCTCTCTCCATAGCCACCACTCAGCATGCACCACCTCCCACCAGGACAACAGCACCGGCAGCCAAACAGAGCCCCTGCGGCCGCGCCTGCCCCACGACCCAATCACCAATGGGCAGTATGATCTTGCACAAAACTCACCTTGCATTATGTCACTGACTAAAATCTTCCAGCATCCCCTCACTGTGCTCACAAGTAAAACACACCTTGTCTCATCAAGGCCTCGTGATCTCATGCTACTTCCCACTGACCTCCTTTTCAGCCCGTCTCCCCACCACTACCATGGGGCACTTGCAGGCCTTCCTCTACCTGGAATATCCCTCCTCTGGTCTTCAAATGACTGGCCCTGATGGGGCATTCAGATCTCAGCTGAGATATTACTTCCCCACAAAAGGGACCATCTAAAGAAATGGTCCCTCACTCTTTACATCATCACGTTTTAATTCTCTATCTGATACTTATTATCTGGTAGTTTCTTGTTTATTGTATGTCTCTTCCTACTGGAATATAAGCATCACAGGAACAAGAATCACAAGTGTCTTCTGACAATCAACTTGATCACTGAAGTAATCAGTGTTCTAGAAAATGCCGGGTGCATATTAAGCTCTCAACAAATTCAGAGGGTGCCAAAAAATGTAAACACATTTAAGAAAAGAAAAAAGCTGTATCAAAAGTATAGTATACACCAATAACAAAAGATGAATACAAGTCATGTTTGACTTCTGCAATTACAGGAGGTGCTCAGAGTGGTTATCCTCAGTGTCCAGACACTTCAGATTATGGTGAATATCTCTTAAAATGTGTATACACTTCTTTTGGCAGCTCCCCACCCCCCAGTATATATTGAATGAATGAATGAAACAAGAAGTGAGCTGAGGCAATTCCTTAACTCTCTAGTCTTGGTTTCCTCTTCTATGCCATGAATCATACCCGCCTTGAGGTAAGGACTCAGCTGGGTTCAGAACATGACATGCAGTAGGTGCTTAAAAAACAGAAGGTGAGTCTGGGCACGGTGGTTCATGCCTATAATCTCAGCACTTTGGGAGGCTGAAGTGAGAGGACTGCCTAAGCCCACGTGTTCGAGACCAGCCTGGACAACTTGGCAAGACCTCATCTCTACAATAAATCAACAAATTAGCCAGGTGTGGTGGCAAGTGCCTATAGTTCCAGCTACTCAGAAGGCTGAGGCAGAAGGATCGCCTGAGCCCAGCAGGTTGAGGCTGTGGTGTCCGTGAGCGTGCACTCCAGCCTGGGCAACAAAGTGAGACTGTAACTCAAAAAAAAAAGAAACAGAAGGTGTATGGCAGAGCAGGGAAAAGTGTGAATTCTGGAGACAGACTGCCTGGGCCCCAATCCTGGTTCCAGAACTGACTGGATACTTAAGTTCAGGTGAGTTATTTTGTGTTCCCATCTGCAGAATAGGATCGTTAATAGCACCTGCTGCTGTAATTAAATGAGTTCATACAATAAAACAATCAGAAGGCCAGGTGTAATGGTTCATGCCTGCAAATCCAGCACTCTGGGAGGCCAAGGTAGGAGTTCCTGAGCTCAGGAGTTCAAGACCAGCTGGGTAACATAGCAAGACCTTGTCTCTACCAAAAAAAAAAAAAGCTTAAAAAATTAGCTGGGTGTGGTGGCACACACTTGTAGTCCCAGCTACTCAAGAGGTTGAGGCAGGAGGATTGCCTGAGTCCAGGAGGTAGAGACTGCAGTGAGCTGTGATCATGCTACTGCTCCAGCCTGGGTGACACAGTGAGACCTCAACTCAAAAAAATAAATAAAACAATCGGAGAGTCACAGGGCAGGCAGTGCCCTCAGGAAAGGCTAACCTCTGCTGCCTGTGGAAGAGACTGAGTCAGATCTCTGGCACCTCTGTGTCTCCTGCTCACCCACAAGGCACCGTGATGGCACTCGAATATTGCCCTCCTCTAGTCAGGCACGGAAGATATCTTTTACTCAGAATCACCTAAGACAGTTCTAAATGCCAACCTCACAAACCAATTATCATCAGTGGTTTCAAGCTAAAAATAATTATTAATACAGAAACATTTTAAACCATTTTTTGGTCTAATTATAATTCCCTAATGATTTAAGCGATAAACATAACAAGTCCATTTTGACAGTTTGCAAAATTAAGTTCCACAGGAAAAAAACCACACAATTATCATCCAACAGTCAGAGCAGGCACATCACCTAAACACAGACCTCAAATTTCAGGATGTGTCTGTGATACAAAGGTGGCCACGTGAACACCACTGACATTGAGGCAGCACCTCGCTAGCTGCCAGCGCAGCCGATTCTAATTAAGTTCTATTGTTGCACAAGCACAGTAAGCCTCGTGCCCAGCTCAATCAACAGCTGTTAATTATCCCTTTACTTTGTTCTGGGACATTTCTACCAGCTGGTCAAGTGTTCGCAGAGGCTTGCCTGCTCTTGAGCTGTGCTGGGGAGTCGGAGCAGCAGAAGAAAAGACATGAGGCGTGGCCCCCGCCCCCAATAGCGAGAAGGAAATCCTAGCACTCAACTCAGCAAGGATGCGGCTACACACAACATCCCAGACAGCAGGGCCTCTCAACCTGCAGCCTCCAAGGCCCCAGTCTCCACCTGGGACCGCCTGGAGGGAGCATCCATCTCACATTGACAGAAGACCCCCAACTGCTTCCCTCTCTGTTAATCACCCAGGGGACACGTCCTGCACTTCTCTGTGCCAGGCACAAAATGACAAAGATGAAAGACACAGGTCCTGTTCTCAGGGAGTCCACACTTAGTCACCCCACCAACATTTATAAAGTGCCTACGTTCCAGACACTGTCATTACAAAGCTCACATTCCACAGGGGCAGCAGATGCTAAATAAGTGTGAAAAAGGAAAAATGTCGTCGACAGGTGGCAATAAGAGCAGTGAAGAGACACAAGGCAGGGAGAGGGGTCAGAGATCGCTGGGTGGGCACTGTCTCTGGGAAAGTCTCCCTGAGGAGGTGACACCTGAGCAGGCCTAAATGGAGCGACACGGCAAACCCCACAGACATCTGGAGAAGAGCCTTCTGGGCTGAGAATGGCAGGGCTAGGGCCTAAGGGGATGGGCTCTGGTGTCTGGAAATCGGCCCTGGGGCTAGTGTGACAAGACTTTTTCACCTCGTCGCTGCACTACCTGAGACAGGTCTTCCTGCTACTGCTCTGGTCTCACCCAGTCTATGCTAGATGCTCCCTTTGAAAGTTAAATCTAGGCAGAAGAGGGAATACAAGGCACATCACACAACAGAATATCGCTTAGCAATAAAAAAGGAATTGCTGAGGGTGCAGCCACATGGATGGCCCTCACAACATTTTCTGTGTGCCAGAAGCCAGACACAAAGAGGCACACCCAGCATGAGGAAAGCTGGAAGAGATCTTGCTTAAGCGAAAGAACACAGATCCTGGTGTGGGGGAGCACCATAAATGAGGGACTGCCGGTCCACTAGTAAGGGGCCCAAGAGAGTCTTTCGGATGACTGAAATGGTCCACATCTTGACTGTGACAGTGATTATATGACTGCACACACTGGTCAAAACTCATCAAACTTTACCCTTAAACAGGTTCACCTTACCGAATTGTATTTGAAGAAGTATACACAATTCTTCCGTAAAATTGATTTTTAAAAACAGCCGGGCACAGTGGCTCATGCCAGTAACCCCAGCACTTTGGGAGGAGGAGGTAAGAGGATTGCCTGAGTCCAGGGGTTCTAGACCAGCTTGGGCAACCTGGCGAGACCTTGTCTCTACCATAAATAAATAAATAATTAGCCAGGTGTGGTGGCGTTCACCTATAGTTCCAGCTTCTTGGAAGGCTGAGGTTGAAGAATCACCTGAGCCCAGCAGGTCAAGGCCGTGGTAGCCATGAGCATGCCACTTCACTCTAGCCTGGGCAAAGAGTGAGACTCCAACTCAAAAACAAACAGGTAAACTGGTTAAACTCCAGCTATGTCGCTCCTTGCTCAGAGCCACAGTTTTCATTACGCTGTGACTGTGCAAATCTCGATCACTGCTAAATCAAGTTGTCTGTTATTATTTTTATTCTTTTTTATTTTACTTTTGAGTTGGGGTCTCACTCTGTCACCTAGGCTGGAGTGCAGTGGCACAATCATGGTTCACTGCAGCAACCACCTCCTGGGCTCCGGCAATCCTTCCACCTCAGCTTCCCGAGTAGCCGGGACTACAGGCGCATGCCACCACACATGGCCAATTTTTTGTCTTTTTATAGAGACAAGGTCTCACCATGTTTCCCAGGCTGGTCTCAAACTCTAGGGTTCAAGCAATCCTCCTGCCTCAGCTTCCCAAAGTGCTGGGATTACAGGCATGAGCCACCATGCCCAATCCAAAGTTTTCAATTTGTTGTGTGCCTTTAGTCAAGTTCCAGAGTCCTGAAATGGTTGTTTTCGACAATTCTGTCAAGACTTATCATTGCTTTTTGGGGATAGGATTTGTTGAGTGAAACTCTGACTCAAAAAAAGAAAAAGAAAAAGAAAAAAGAAGACATCTATTTAAAACAAAAACAAAAACTACTACTACTGAGCCTTGTGCAAAAACCAGTGCATACCCAAGGCTTGCCCACTCCCCACACCTAGCTCCTCGGTCTGACAGTTCCACCAGAATGGGCGAAGTTCTGAAAACCAGTAGCATCAGAGATGGCTGGCATAGTTGGGAACAGATGATGAAAAACTCCAGGTGTGTGGGTGTGTGGCAGGCAACGGGACTACTGCAGCCAGGGAGTTGTCCCGGAACGCCCATCCCTAGCTCTTGCTTATTCTTCTACCAGGTTGTTTCCTTCTCTCATTAATTGCCAGGAGTTTTCATTTTGTTTTTTAAAAAAGATTCTAAGTCTAGAATCTAGGAACTGGCAAATTTTTTCTGCAAAGGGCCTGATAGTAAATATTTTAGGTTCTAGGGGCCACACGGTCTGTCACAAGTCCACTTCGTGGCAACGGCATGGAAGCAGCCACAAGCAAACTGTAAACAAATGGCTGAGGATGGTGCCAAGAAAGCTTTGTGGACACTGAAACTGAATTTCATATAATTTTCATGTGCCATGAAATACTCTTTTGATTTTTTTTTTTTTTTTAGGCATTTAAAAATATAAAAACCATTCTTAGAACTTCCACTCTGGGAAGATGAAACAGACATACTTTTTCTTATTCATTCGCTAAATACAACTAAAAGACCATTACATATAAAACAAATGTACCTCTGAGAGGTAGAGAGAAGGCAGGCTTGCTAGAGACTGTAGGACCCAAAGTCCACAATGGTGATGAGTTCTCCGGGTTTTCCTTTTGCCTTATATATCCCAGGCTTAGAATTGAAGAGGCCAACAACCCAGTAATGCCACAGGCACAGATAGAAGAGCCCCAACAAAAGCCTGCTCTCTCTAGCCAAAGCACCGGAAAAAGGGCAGGCAAGCAAGGCAGACAACTTTTAAACAATAACTCTTCTACTCTGGGTAAACACTGCAAAAAAAGTAAGCCCACCTCCACACATGCCAGCAAAGCCAGAGTGAGGAGCCCAGACTTCTGCCCCCATACCCCCACCCTGATGACATCACAGAAGGCCAAGAAGGCAGCCAGGAATGTCATTCCCCACCCAGCCAGTAAGGAAGCCAGCTTCCTCCCCACCACCACCCTGCCTGGGTGTCAGTGGAAACCACTTAGGTGCCTGGAATTCCACATCTTCATTGTAGAAATAAGGCCCCCGCCCCTTCCCTGCTGGAGTGGTGTCAGAGAAGTCTAGTGGAGAGTCAGGACTTCCCCAGTGGTAACAAAGTCACCCACACTGGAGTGCTGGGGGAGGCCATGAGCCAGAACTGGCAGTCACAAGGAGCCCCCAGTATCTTAGGAAGTTGCATGGTGAACCTGGACTTCTGTCCTCCC